ATGCAGCAATTATTTTTATTTCTTTTTGCAACGAAACTAGCCGAAGCACAAAGTCCAAATTATTCTGTCGAATGTCAACAAGCAAATGCATTATGTGAAGAAAATACCGATTGTGTACACCGATTAGCCGTACTTCAGTCCACTTGGTAAAAAAAAAAACAAATCTCGAATTTTTACTCGAAAAATATTACGAAATAGTTTCTATTACAATTAAATTTCTATAATTCAAATTTGCCATTAAGGACATCCAGAGCAAAAATATGAACAGTTTAGATACACATAAGTTCCTTAGATACACGTAAGCTCTAGATATATGTTGATACACTTTAGATACACGTAAGCTCTAGATATATGTTGATACACTTTAGATACACGTAAGCTNTAGATATATGTTGATACACTTTAGATACACGTAAGCTTTAGATATATGTTGATACACTTTAGATACACGTAAGCTTTAGATATATGTTGATATACGTAAGCCGCGCTTTTTATTTTAAAACTATATCATCAGGTATTTGTTTAAATCGAAACTTTTTGGCAGTTATTAAAAGATTCGACGTGTGAGATATTAGAATTGTTGGTATTGAAGTATTTTTGGTATTGATGATTTATTGTCGTAGGCGAATAATTTGCTAAATCTTACATGTATTTTCAATTAATTGAATACATAAATATAACATACCACAAATTAACCATTGCAATTTTTACTGATTCAAAATTTATTTGGATGCTTTTAATTAGTTAAATAACATATAATTACATTAATTGGGAAATATTAACCATTATTCATGCATGCTCAGATTAATTGTTTTAATTAACCAACGATTATACTATGAATAAGTTGCAAATGAGTTAATTTGATATGCTCATTAATGGATTGAAAAGAAACAATCAGCACCGATAAACCTCTCCAATCGATTAATTACACGAAAATTTTGCATTTACAGATTAAAAATATTTAATTACTTACCAAATTTTTATCAGTTGTTTATACACTTCCAATAAGATTAATGCAATTGTGAGCAATTTTCGGAGTCACCAAACGTATGTCACTTTTGATAATTGCGCTCGTATCTGACTCATTTTTAGATGGAAAAAAGAGGTGAAAGAATGACAAATTAATAATTGTATTTTGTTATGTTACAAAAAAAAAAAAA